AATACCGAAGTCGAAATTGTATAAGTAGTGACATCTATTAAAGAAAAGCCAAACGACGAAAACAAAGATGACCACCGGTCGCTGAATTACAAGTAGAAGTGGATCTTATTTGTGGAAGGGCGAAACGGGCGGTGACTATGAGACGCCTTCATTATAGCCATCCTTCTCTATCGCACGGATTTCTATAACTTACTTTATCGCTCTCACGTAACGGCCGATGAACCATGGGGACTTTCCGACCCTATATAACGCTCTTACAGACGTCGAATATAAATAAAGATAAATCATTTTTAATATTGGGAACATCATCTGTGTGTGCATATATGTAAAATCAATTTTGACTGTTTACTACTATGTTGTTCTGTGGCAATTAAATTGTGATAACAAACATTCTATCTCTATATTGACCCCAAACAAAAAGCAAATTTTCTTTGTTTATAAAGCCAAATAACAATAACTGGTAGCAAAACAAATGAGTAAAAATGTTTAAGATCTTCCTCTTGTTTTTCATGTTTACACGAGTATTAGAAATTTTCTGCTATTATCAAAATGGCGATTTGCGTTTTGTAGCTGTGGTAAGTTTTCATTATCTAATTATTGTTAATAAAAAATTAGATCCCCATATAAAGATCTATGAAAAACGTATAGATTTTGGCAAAAAATTAACATTCAATTTTGAATTTAATTACAGAAAAAATTTAAATTAAAAAATACAAGAAAAAGCCGATGCCGTTATACTACTCAATCAATATTAAAAGCAGTTTTAATTTTTTTAGTTATATCGACATGGCGACAGAGCACCGACGAAAATATATCCTAAAGACCCTTACAATGACGTATCTTATTATTGGCCAGATGGATTGGGAGAATTAACAAACGTATGTATGAAAAAAAATCAGTTTTGTACATGCGAAGTTTACATATTAAATAATGTGTTAAAATCTTGTAGGTCAAGTCGACTCGAGACATAATTTACTGGTATTATAGAAAAAAATAGAACTAAAATAATCAGTGGCGTAGATATAGGGGCAGAGGAGTATTTTTGTAAATAAAAATAATATTATAAAATGAGGTTTTTTAAACACCCTACCAAAATACAGAAAATATAATTTATTTATTACAGTGGTATTAAATTACATTAATTTTTGGTTTCTGTCTCCAGCAATTTACACTAATACAAATAAGATTATATATGGATGGAACACCACAGAACAAAAGTGTCATTAAAGTATTTATCATATTTTATTACATTGACTTGGTTAATACAACTTTTTACATAATTACCTAAACGTTGTATTTGATTTAACCAAATACCTATATAATTTACACCATTTGTTGATAAAAAAAACACCCTGTATAGCCAATTGACGTATAAAATACGCTTTTATGGCGGATATTTAGAGATGTGTATAAAATATTCGAAGTGTAATTGTTTATATAAGAAACAATCAAATTTCTACATTTCAAATCATGTGACGTTTATCCAATCATCAAAATATAAGGCTTTTTTTCGCGAGTGAATATTGGTGAATACGTCTGACTTGTAGTTACTGTTTCTATCTCTTTTAATCTTATTTCTAACCTTGTCTAACCTGAATAGATCGCGAAAATGTATATATTCACTATTCAGTGGTGCCTGTCATATGGGTTCTAACTTCTAACCAGTAATTTGTCATCCTTTAATTGCTTCCAGTAATCTAGTGTTGTGGGAATTGGTGTTATCTCACTATATATGTATTTGCTTCAAATAAAACTGAAGGAATATATCAATGCTTCTTTGCAATATTTTTAAGTGGCAAATTTAAAAAGCGTGAAAAGNAATCTTGTAGGTCAAGTCGACTCGAGACATAATTTACTGGTATTATAGAAAAAAATAGAACTAAAATAATCAGTGGCGTAGATATAGGGGCAGAGGAGTATTTTTGTAAATAAAAATAATATTATAAAATGAGGTTTTTTAAACACCCTACCAAAATACAGAAAATATAATTTATTTATTACAGTGGTATTAAATTACATTAATTTTTGGTTTCTGTCTCCATCTACGCAATTTACACTAATACAAATAAGATTATGGATGGAACACGACAGAACAAAAGTGTCATTAAAGTATTTATCATATTTTATTACATTGACTTGGTTAATACAACTTTTTACATAATTACCTAAACGTTGTATTTGATTTAACCAAATACCTATATAATGTACACCATTTGTTGATAAAAAACACCCTGTATAGCGAATTGACGTATAAAATACGCTTTTATGGCGGATATTTAGAGATGTGTATAAAATATTCGAAGTGTAATTGTTTATATAAGAAACAATCAAATTTCTACATTTCAAATCATGTGACGTTTATCCAATCATCAAAATATTATAGCGATCACGATGCATGATGTGGTGTTATCAGCAGTATAAGTGATGTTTTGTCAACTGTTGGGTTAAAAATCAGCAAATGTCAGATTGACAATCAGTTTATTTTGTATTAAAAAAAATGTCATACAGATTTGGTAATTGTTCCCAATGGTTTAATTAATGAAATTATACTTTTAATAATTGCAGATTTAAATGAACAAATTTAAATAACAATTGATTAAGAATTTTATAAAATATTAAGAAATTATCTTACCGAATATAACCCGAGCTTTCATAATACTCAAAATTTTGTCATAAAGATTCCATCGAGATAGCGTGTTGCTTGTCAATTATCTACATTCTCTGTGACAAAATTATCTCTGTATTATCCATGCTCTTGGTGCATTATATCAGTGACTATAACAATTCTTGTTATAGTCACTGATTATATGTAGAATTGCACTAAAAAGCAAAGCATTCGACATAAATAATTTATAATTCTTTATGTATGTTGCTCTGTATTTCAGCTTGGTATCCAGCACCAATATGAACTAGGCCAGTGGTTTACTAACCGCTACGCCACCTTCCTACCTGAAAAGTTCTCTACCGCCGACATCTACGTCCGCTCTTCAGACAGAGACCGAACTCTTATGTCTGCGGCAGCCAATCTGGCAGGTCTTTATCCGGCAAAAGGCGCTCAAGTATGGGACAAGCAGTTGCTGTGGCGTCCCATACCGATTCACACGGTACCGAATGAGGAAGACGAGGTGGTCGCCATGAAAAAGGACTGTCCTAGATACAATTTGCTTTACGATCAATTATTAAATTCGAGAACATTCCAATTGGTTAACCTGAGGAATAAGCCACTGTATGATTACTTAACAAAAAATACGGGTTGGAATATTACGGAATTACGACAAATTGAAACGTTGTATTCACTTTTGTCGATAGAAAAGCAATACAATCTAACTTTACCGGCTTGGGCAGAAGGCATATTTCCGAAAAAGCTTGAATTTTTGGCCGCTTTAAGCCACGCGAGTTTTTCCTTCACAAAACCTCTGGCTAGATTAAAAAATGGTCCGTTTTTCGACTACGTATTTTCACATTTTGATAAAGTCACGAGTAACGCAACTGTTTTAAAATTCCTTATGATTTCTGCACACGACAACACGATTGTAAATTTATTATCTGCTATGGGAGTTTATGATTACACTTTTCCAAACTTTGCTTCAACAATTATTTGGGAACTAAGTCAAAAGGATGAGCGTTTTTACGTGAATTTATTTTATAAAAATACAGCGACAGTTTCAGAGTTAAAACTAATGGGCTGCGAAATGAACTGCGAATACGAGACCTTTAAAACAATTCTGGAACCGGTCACTGTTAAAGTGGAAGAATGGAACAAAGATTGTATAATCTAAAGAAAATATAACTTTATATTTTTGTAAAGATAAAAATTATTATATAATGATCACATATTACATACAATAAATTTTTTAATCTACAAATACTATTTAATTATTTTGAGATACGCCACTACTATTAAACGTCAAAAGTAGTTCTAATCACTTGTAGGTCAAATCTTATTGGACGGAAGCTAGTTACAGAAATGCGTCAAGAGGTCTCCACGTTAAAAATCAAACAAGTGATTTCGCGCATGCGAGAGCCGTTCAATCAAAGCAATTCTTGCTTTTTTTACTTCAGGTTACCCCTACGAAGGGGTTGAGTTTATATTTACAAACCATATGTTTGGGTAAATTCGGCTTAAAACCATGTGGTAGTTAAAGGGGCTGTGATATATCATAAGTATAAAGGTAAATAACTAAATTACCAAAAATGAAAAGGAGTCTGCATATTTTTCTCACTATTTTTGTTACCATTTTTGGTGCCGAAGGGGCAGAAGATGAATTGGACGCAGTTGTTGCGGTAATTATTGAAACTTGTCGATACATTATTGTTTTGTGTGTTCATTGAGCTTGTCAAAAACAAATGTCTATCTTTAGATTTACAGACACGGTGACAGGACTCCGGTGAAACCTTATCCTACGGATCCCTATAGAAATGCATCTTTTTGGCCGGTGGATTTTGGACAGCTGACTAATGTAAGTAATTTGTTTAGTTCTGTGTAAGTATATAATTACGCTTATTACAATGTCATGTTTACATTTAATTATAATGTGCATTGTTATCATTATTAAAATGAATAGCCATTTTTAATTAATATCAGTACAATGTATAGTTTATTTTTCAGTCATATGCGATAACTATGAGTAATAACACCTTGCGTAATTATTATTCTTTCAAATTTATGTGAAACCAAATATGCTCAAGGTAAAGGGTTGGGTGCCAAGAAGCTTTGGTTACTTGCCCAATAAAATTAAAATAATTTAAACAACTGACCGTAACAAAGGAAACATATATGTAAAAGAGATTAGCTACACTTTACCAATTGAACTGTCTCAAATTATAAAATCTACATAGAATGAATCTCTTCCTGTTTTTGTATGATTCAATTTTAATTTTAAATTCTTACCCATCTGGTTATTTTTGTAGAGGCATAAAATTTTTATTAGTTTTAAGGATTAAAAGATTTCATGTTTTAACTGTCTTATCTTGTTAAAAACTACTTTAGTAATAAACGGGCATAGCTCAATATTAACATAGTAATTAAATTATTAAAGTCAGGCGGATTAATATATAACTATTTCCTTTATAGAGAGGCAAGCTCGAACAGTTGGAATTGGGAAAATGGCTGCGAAATCGTTACCAGAATTTCCTGCCGATACTGTACTCCGAAAAAGATATATATGTACGGTCTACCGATGTGGACAGAACTCTCATGTCCGCAGAGGCCAACTTGGCGGGGCTTTACCCACCCGTCAGTAAACAAATATGGGACAAAGAGATAAAATGGCAGCCCATCCCCATCCATACCGTTCCCGAAACAGAAGATGCAATTTTATCCGCCAAGAAACCTTGCCCGAAATACAACCTGCTCCAACAGCAATTATTTAAGTCAGACTATTTCAGGAATATCACACACAGGAACCACGACTTATACGCTTATTTAACGAGGTACTCCGGTACAACGATATCGACTCTGGAAACTTTAGAGTTCCTTTACAATACATTCCTCATCGAAACTTTGTATAACTACACTTTACCTGACTGGGTTCTGAAAGTATATCCGAATAAACTTGAACCGTGGGCTTTTTTGAGCTTCGCCACCCAGACCTACACTACTGAGTTGGCACGACTGAAAACCGGGCCCTTTTTTAGCGAAATCATAACGTATTTTAAAGATGTCGGCTCGAAGAAAGCGGACGTACCAAAGTTTAGAGTTTATTCGGCACACGACACCACCATAGCCAACGTTTTGAACGCGATGGGTGTCTTCGAGTACCATTCGCCCCCTTACGCCAGCACGATTCTCTTTGAGCTAAGGAAACGAAGTAACGGTAGGAACTACGTGAATATATTTTATAAAAACACGACGGAGGCTAGACAGTTAAATTTGAAACCGTGCGACGTCAACTGCGATCTCGCCGATTTCATAGCCGTTTTAAAGCCCATTACCGTTTCTTTATCCGAGTGGGAGGAGGAGTGTAAATTGAAATGGTCGTATAGCTGGCCGCTTAACTTGCAGGGGAATATTATTTTACTGAGTATTCTTATGGGTATTATTTTGATGACTACCGGTATAATAGTCGGGTTAAAGAGGGTTAAAAAGGAAAATGAAGCCAATTACGTTCAGTTACCGAATGAAGAATATGCTTGATTTTTACAGCAGTATTATAATATAGACGTAAGATTTGTTTTTGCATCGGGCAATGGGGAATGTAGCACAATTTGATTTTTACGTATTTGGACACAATTGTAAAATAAACGCGTGGTACGTGTACCATTATTTTATTTTATCGGAAAACGCAAAACAAAAAAATACGATAATGATTAAAGCACATTGAGTTTCCTTAATATGGATAAAAAAAGTGTGCCATAGAATCAAGTTTTATGGAATAATTTTGATTTTTAAAATAATTTATACAGAGTGAGCCAATAAGGAAATAAATTCAGTATATCACACAATATTGTTTAAAAAAGTCTTAGTCCAGTTACTCAGGGTTTTTACCTCGGAATTCTTTATAACTGAACCCATTGATGTGAAATTTTGACTTAATGTGGGGAATGCTTCAAGGAATAAAAGTTATATAGCGCTGAAGTGTGCTTTTTCCCTGGGGGTGGTTCCCACCCCTTCTTGGGGGTGGAAATTTTTATGCCCAAAATAACTACAGGAATCGATAGAGGATTCAATTTTAAGTAACAAATGTTATATAAAGTTTTTTGGATAATCCAATACCTTCCGAGTAATTCGTCATTGAAAATGTTGATTTTTTTTACTACAAAAGTACTTGTTTTCGACATTTTTTTGCAAATAACTCTGAAACCATTGGATTTAACGAAAAGTTGTAATGAACAAAAAGAAAGGTAATAAAAAAACAAATCTAATGGCAATATTTTGTTTGTCTCTAATTGCAATATAAACCGAATTATGGATTTTTAAACATTATTATATGTTAGCTAAAAACTAAATTGGAACCAGTTAACGTTAAATAATGCCAAAACCATAAATATTAGGAAAAAAAACTATTTAAACCTTTTTTAAAGTACTTTGAAAAACCTTTAAAATGAGCTATTTTAAAAGTCTTTAGAATCAAAATTAATGAATATGATCGAAATAACATTTTTTTAAAGAAAAAATTAATAAACAATTCAGTGCCTTTGGCGACAGAATTAAAATTAAATGCAATCCACTTACAGATTTATTCATTTATGTTATAAGAATATGTTCTGGGTGTTTGGCTCATTTACAAAGCATGATTTCGAAAAAAAAAACTTAATTTTTGAAAATGTAAATTTTTAAAATTTTTTAAAAAAATTCGATTTTTACGCTGTACTTTAAAAATTAAAGGGTGTACGAAAAAAATACAAGTGTAAAAAAATTTAGCTTTATTTTTGTTAAAGATTTTGCTTTTTTTATTCCTCTAAAATTAATATTAATCGAGATATCGCCATTTTAAGTTATCATATTGAGAAAACCACCCTTTTCGGGCCCTTTAAACCATTCAAACTTAAAAATGAAGGGATTAAAATGATCAACTCAACACTTTAACGTAGCCCTTACAATTAAAAATCTTAAAAAGATAAAATTATCGACAAAGAAATAAACACGTGTATAGGCGATAATTTTAGGAAAATATAGGTCAAACAAGAATTTTGAAGTGTTTATCTTTTTTATAACGACGAATAATCATTTACATAATATTTTTTTTTGTATTTATTATTATTAAAAAAGAAAATAAAAATTTATAAATGTAAGGGGTACTTTTTAAGGGTTGAAAAGTTGGAATCAATTCAGAATTATTTGATAAGAGGGGAATAAATGTTTATTTAATACGAATGCACATTTAAAATGTTTTTACTTTTTCAATAATATTTTTTCATTTTATTTTCGAAAGAAGGGGTATTTTTCAAGGGTTGAAAAGTTGCAATCGATAAAAAAGATTTTTTAATCAAGAAATCAATTTTAATTGATAAAAATGCCTGATTGAAACGTTTCAAGTTGAAAAAAAATTGTTTATATTATTTTCATCCAAAGGGGTGGTTTTTAAAGGTTTTTCCGGGTTGAAAATTTGGGATACATTACGTTTCATGTTAGATAGCACATGAAATTACTCATACTGCATAAATAAAAAAGATTTGGTTACATAAAATGCTTAAATTTGTATTTTTTCTTTTTTATCCAATAAGGGGTGGTTTTCACGCCTTAAGAACAAAAAACACACCTAGCGCATATATAAGTTTTGAAGTGGGGGATAAGATGAGCCTAATTCTAAATTTTAAGAAAAATCAATGCAGTTATAAAAAATTATTACTATATTTTCAGCTACAGTAACTGGGCTATCTGGTATGTCAATTAATATTATGTTGCAATTATTTTTATCAAAAAATATACAGTGTGTCTGTACGGGAGATATTATATCGATAATTTTTTTAAATGTCACAAATTTTACTTGTGCTCTTTTTGAAGGGTGTGTAATTCTACATCATTGTCAAATTTCAAATATTTATTCCTAGTCGTAATTTTAAAATAAATGTGGGTTCAATTCAATTAATTTAGTTTCAAAACTAATATTTCTGAAAATTACAAGATTGTTAAAGAATAATCTTTAATTTGCTATTTCTAGGAATAAATATTTGAAATTCAGTCGTTATAATAACTTACACGCTCTTCAAAAATGAAAAAAACTAAACTAGAGCTGCCATTAAAAAAAATTCATTCATGACTTCATATTTCCTTGTTGAACACCCTGTATATATATATTTTTTTTATAAAATAAGTGTAGAACATAATAAATGCGTGAAATTTTTTTTAAAACAATTTTGAGTGATGTACCAAATTTATTCCAATTTGCACTGTACAGGGTGTCCTGATTTTAATGCAACAAAATTTGGTCATAGTAAGACATATTTAGGGGACCCATATTTTTTCTTTTTGCCAAGTGGCCCCCTCTTTCGGTGTTATAGCTCCCAAAATCTGCCCCTAAGAATGTACTGTTGTACGAGTATCACTAAATTTGGTACACAGGGATTTTATGGCGTGTGAAATCTGATAGTGTTACACTTTTTGGTGGGGAACCCCCTTAAGACACTTTTTCGTGGACCCCCTTGTCTTTGGAATCAAAAAAATTTAGCACCATCAAATTCCTCATGTCGTAAAACCCTCGTCTACCAAACTTAGTGACTCTAGTACATGGTTTTGAGATATAAAAAAAAGATTATTCTTAGGGGCAGCTTTCAGGGGGCTGTAACTTCGAAAGAGGGGGCCACTTGGCAAAAATAAAAAATACGAGTACCCTAAATTTGTCTTAAGAATCTGTGACCAAATTTTGTTACATTAATTTCAGGACACCCTGTATAATAAAGTTGCGTAGTTGATATAAAACTTTTTATCAACGATCTCTAACTTTTTGTTTACGCCAACAGTTTCTGAATTTAACATTCTGGCACTTTTCTGAAAATAATTTAGTATGTAGAAACAAAAAGCGAAATAAGCACAATTATAACAATATTAATTTCCTTATATACACAGTGTTCCAGAAATAAGTGTCACAATTTTAATCATGCATTTTATTCATCAAAAGGAACAAATTTTCTTCGAAGTCCTTAATTTTTATGGTAACGTAATTTTTTAATTATAAATTTTATATTCCCGCCAATGAGTCAAAGTCAAAACGCTTAGCATAAAATTTTAAGACAATAAATAAGTATTATTTTAGTGGGAACTGGGAAGGCATTTACAAAAAAATTTATGGGACATATTGCTTTTAATAAATTACGTGGTTAAATTAAAGTACGCTTATTTCTGGGACACCTCGTATAAAAATGCAGCACACATATAGCTCTATGTTTTGCGTTCTTTTATTAATTTATAACCAGTGTACGATGTTTTACTAGTATTTCATTTGGCAATTTGTGATTGTACTTATTAGTTTACTAAGAAGCACCAGGGGATTTAGTTATAACCTTGCCATTACTTTGAGATTATTTTTATTTTACAGTAGTAGCAAATAGAAAACAAGTATTTAGACAATATGGCAAAATTTAAAACACGATGTCCTTATTCTTTGTGATACCCATATTTTTTAGACTGAAAATTAAAATGTATCATATCGTCATTACAGGATATTGCAATCGATCAAGTCAGTTAACATTATTTTTTACGAATAAAAACCGTTCTTCCAAACTACAAATATATTTGAACACATCTAAACTTCTACCGTACAATTTGTATATAATGTGACAGTTAAGATAGTATTGATAGCTCATCAAAACGGTATTCTGTAGTCGGTGTTATTTTACATGAATGTGTATAATACTGAACCAAATATATACTAAGTGTTTGAAAAATACTATAATCGACTAACCTTCTTATCAAGTGACTGGAAACATTAGTAAATTATTATAGATTAAAATATTAAGTTTTGCTTTACTTTAAAACGTACTAAGCTAATTCAAGACCAAAAATGATCCAAANAATAGTAGTTAATAATTATAAAAATTTTTAAATCATACCTTTTCTTTGTAAATAGATTATCTTGTAGATTATTTGCTGAAAGCGTGTGTATCTATCACACATAACATACCATTGTTAAGATTAGTGACAATTTACTGTACTCGTATATATTATAATTATTAAGACAATTTCCACTTCATTACTAGTTATTAAAAATTTACTTGAACAATTTAAGATCAAGCGATCACCCTGTACATTATCATATATTTCGCTTCACCACACTTGGCAACCATTATAATTCTGATCTGCGTCTATAACAATTTCTTTCTGTTCTTTTACCTGACCATTCGAGAGGACTACATCCAGCTGTGCCTCACGCGTAGGAAGCTTCTACTTCGCTCCAGTCCAATAACTCCATACAAATTTCATATGGTTGGAACGAGAATAAAAAAAATTATCAAAACATGTAAAAAAATGTATACAATCCCATTTAAAAAAAAACCAACTACGTCACCACTCATCTACAGCACAAAAAAAAATTGCTTTACAGTATATTTGAAGAAAAAATCACAAAAACTAATAAAAAAAATTATAAAAATATATATTTAAATGTTTTTCAAATAGACAAATTATGTGAAGTTTCAAGTTATTTTTTAAAACATTGTTTGTAGGAGATATAAATGAATATTTATCCGCTGTGACTATTTGGAAAAATATTGCATTAAAATATTTATAAATGTATTTTCTTAAACTGTTAGATTTCTAAATGTGGCTGGAAAGTACCATATATGAATGTTGCAAAAGTGTATTTGCATTAACTATATAGCTTTTCTATAAATAGAAAATCTTGATAAATAGTAAGTACCTTTCTATTGTAAAATAAAAATATAAACCATGCAACTAAATGTTTTATATACTCATTTCGCTGCTTACATTTAAAACCAAGTTAATTCTGTTGAATGTATTTAAAAATTGAGGGAAAAAATGGTCATATGGGGCCATTATTCCAATTTTTAAGTGTCAAAATTTAGTTCGGTAAACAAAAAAAAATTAGGAAAAATTCCATAGAATTGAATGAACTACTTTATCCCAAAGTTCACAAAAGCAGTTTTTTTTTTTTTCATTTAAAACATTCGCAAAAAGTAAATAACTGAACTGTCAATGCAAATGACACCAAACGCGTTTTAATTCTTTACAACCCGCTACGATAAAAAATATTGATGATTTCGATTCCCGGTGATTAACACATGTAACATTATTTTTAAACGGATTTTACACAAAAATGGAACATTCTATCAATCTGAACCAAGAGTACTTTTTTTACTAAAAAACTCTGAAATTTCATACCTTTCAGTCAAAAGTCAAAGTAAATTTTACCCCCATCCCCCCCCCCCAGTGTTGGAACGTATGTGACGAAAATTTGTAAATTTCATTTTAGTAGCGGACTGACCACGTAAGAGTTAAGGTAGTTATCAAATTTCATAAATTTATCTCGACTGGTTTCGGAGTTATTATTATTATCAGAGTGGCCCCTTTAAGGAGCTATAACTTCCTTTGTAAGAATTTTTTGTATTTTATATAAAGAAAAAGTAATCTTTTTCGACATAGAATCTGCAGAAATATTGCCCCCTAATTTCGGTACACCCTGTATATTCTAAACATGAAAGTAGTGAGATTTAGCCAAATATGCCTTAACAAAATATTGCTCGTTAGGGAGATATACAGTGTAGGAAAGTACCGATGGTCTATCAGAAGTTACGTGAGAGCGATAAAGTAAGCCATAGAATTCCATGTGATAGACAAGGATGGCTATAATGAAGGGGTCTAATCGTCAACGCCCATTTCGCCCTTCCACAAATAAGAAGTGGATCTTATTTGTCGAAGGGCGAAACGGGCGGTGACAAAGAGAAGCCTTCATTATAGCCATCCTTCTCTATCGCATGGATTTCTATGGCTTACTTTATCGCTCTCACGTAACTTCAGATAGACCATCGGTACTTTCCTACCCTGTAGGGTGTTTAAGGTAGATTCCAGATTTATTATTTATTTCACAAAGTACACTTGGATTAAATTATTTAAGTACGAATATCTTGACTAGAAAAGAAAACAAGTATAACATTTTCTTTTAAAAATAATCTGTAAAGATTTTTTTATTCAGTCGTAATAGGGTGCAAAAAAAAATTACGATGAGCAATTTTTAATCATAAGTGCATAACTAGTGCCCTCTATTAGCAACCTGATAACTGAGTTCAGATTCAAATTTCCCGCCATTCAAAACCCCCAATCAAGTTTTCAAGTTATTTTCCCAAACTGTAAAATTTATGAAGTAAACAATAAATTTAAAATCAATCTTTAACATCCTGTATCTCTTAAATGAGCAATATTTTGTCGAGGCACATTTTACTAATTTCATTGCTTTCATGCCTGGAATATATACTGGCCCAATCATTACGGACCACCCTGTATAACAGTGTTTAATAAGACAGTGTTTAAGAATTGAAGACTACACACAATATCATTTATTTAGTAATTAAAAACATGAATATATCAATGTGTTTAAACAAATTAATTTAAAAATATTTATTTTTCAAAAGAAAGGAAAATAAATAAATAATGTGAAAAATGATGTATCAGCAAACAATATTTAAATATACTTTGTTTGTAAAAGAAATTTAACCCCTCTCTTCTGGTTTCTTATATGGGTAATCTATATAATCAAATATGTCTTCCTCTGAATGTATTTCAACTGGTTCTCCGGGTACGCCTGAAATATTTTATTTTTATAACGCCATATTTATAAGAAAATATATATCTACCTGTTACACCCACTGGTCTTAAAGAATATTCATTTAACGTGAACCCTTTTTCCAAAGCGTGTATTCTCATGTCTTTATTAAACGTATCAGAACCAGTGAAATACAGAACGCAGCAGTAATATTGATCGTAGGGAATTAATCTGATATCTAGCCTTCTCATAGGATGATCGCTGTTCAATTTGCAAGCACCCTAAAATAGAAACAATGTTTTAAATTAATCTGTTCTTTGATTTTTTTGTATAACTACAATTAATCATAATTAAAACTTAGATATTTTGAAAGTCCTTGCCATAAACTTTGTCTCTCCCAAAGACAGGGTTTCTGTAACCAAACCGCATTTTTCCAGGGTGGCAACGATATCTTTAAGCATATTATTTTTATGTTTCTTATCGACTTTATCACTTGTAAAATCTGGGTGCGTTATCAACGTATCTATATCGCCACTCTCAGGTTTCCCCCTCCTGCAGAAATCAGTGCCAATATTATAATTCTCATTTTAAATTTAATAATATATTCATAAATACCTATAGCTTCCACAAATTGTGATCTTGAAATCAGGATCCAGATTTTTTAAATCTTTAACGATCATTTTTTCAATCTGTTCTATCTCTTGTCTCGGAATTTTCTTCTCAAAGTCTTCAAGATACCTAAAAAATATAACCAAAAAGTCTATACCTATTAATCACAATATTTCTGGCTAATTTTACCAATTAGGATTACGTATTCTTTCAAAAAATATTGATCCTTACCTTAAACCGATAATTTGATGATGAGTGAGCTTATCTGTATGTTTTCTCAAGTCTTCCAATGTCGTAATTCCTTCTTTTACCAAACTGTGTGCTTTAGCCGGGCCTATACCAGTTACTCTAGTCAATAAATTGATTGCAGTACTTGTAGAATCATTATGAATCTAAAAATTCGTACATTAAATTTAATATAAACACATTTTCTGAATATTACGGTTTCCAGCTTCCGCAATTTACCAGTTTGTAAATATTCATCGATTTTTTTTGCTATTTTTTCACCAATACCTTTTAATTTTCTAGCTTCTTCACCAGATTTTATCCTTGTTGGGTGATTAGATAAAACGGAACTTGCTTTTCTGTAAGCACTGTACTTGTGAATGTCTCTGTTAACATTTTTTTCATAATCTGCCAGTTCTAAAATGTAAAATGTAATTAACAAATAATAAAAGAGAATTGAAGGACAAAATTGTACCGACCTGTTAAAAATTCACAAAAATCGTGGTTAGGATTTGATTCATCAGGAGCTTTACGTTTACCCATTTTTTAAATCTTTTCAAAAAACGAGTTAAATTTTGTGGGCAATATAGCACTCTACTTCCTATAAAAAACTTTAAAAATGTAATACAAACAACATGTCAAAATTGTCAAATTTTAATCAGCTGGAATATTGGAACTACCGTAATTTATCCGAAATATTTTCGGCGTTTGTGATGTCTTTTGGTACTACATATAACAAATAAAACAGAAGAAGAAAAAGTTAGGTTATAATGGTTATTTACTGTCAAGTTGCCATTTATCTATTTTTGTTGTAAATGTTTATTTCTTTTTTTTTTTCATGCAACGTGTACAATGTATATTTCACAGTTTACATATAAATTTTTAGTTTAGTATGATTTAATATAAAATGTAATGTATTTAGTATAATAATATACTCATTTTTTTTAATTATATAGAAAATACTTAAGACAAAAAGCCAAAATGTACAAAGGCCTACAGAAACTATTCTCCGAAAACCTATACCTATTTTTGGGTATCATTATCGGTCTCTATATCTCGTCAATGATCTCTGATGGTTTCGACGCGAATTGTAACAGACAAAAAATAATGAGGAACGAAACTGCTCAGGAAATTATAAGTTCCTCGGTTAATAAATTCGCACCAAAAATTCTCACAAAGAAGCCTAACCCCAATTCGAAAAAGACAAAACTGATAAGGCCGAGATATTACTCAACGGAATTGGGTATGAGAGAGAAAATGTTTGTCGGCATTTTCACATCCGAGGAAAAAATAAATACTCAGGCGATACATATCAATAAAACTATCGGTCACTTAGTGGATAGGATAAAGTTCTTTATAACAGCGCAATACAAACTAAAAACCAAGTTTAATTTAACGGGACTTGTGGGGTTTACCGATGCAAGGTATAAGTATAGACCGTTCCAGGTTATTAAGTATGTTGGTGATACATTTGCTCAAGATTTTGATTATTACTTTTTTGCCAATGATTATACATTCATCAACGTACACAGGCTGAAAGATATTGTGAATAAGATCAGTGTTAGTATGGATGTTTACCTAGGTACAAAAGTAACAGACAGCAGTTATTGTAATTTAGGTAAATTTTTCAAAAATATCTTGAAAGATGTATAAAAAAAATTGATTTTCAGATGCAGGACTTTTGATAAGTAACTCTGTCTTAAAAGCAATGAGGATGCATTTGGACTGGTGCATTATGAACGCTATATCTGACGACCATAGCGAAAATATCGGTCGCTGTATTTATCACAGTTTAGGCCTCTCTTGCCAGGAGTCTATTCAAGTAAGTACTAGCTAGACTGTAAAAAAATTAAAAGTACAATTGATATTTTTTGTTAGCTTGAGAGTATTCCCACTTTCAAATTAAAACACTTTGAGTTAAGTGACCACTTATTGGACTTAACAGGAAGAGGAGATTTCAATGATGCTGTTACCGTTTATCCGATACTACAAAAGAATGATTTTTATTTATTGAATGCTTACTTTTTAAAGGTAAGGTTATTAATTATTAAACTTGGCGTTGAAACTTATTTAAATTTTAGCAAAGACTGACTATATTGCACGAAGGGATTCATCGTCTTTCCGAAACCGTGACGGAAACTTGGCCCCCAGGCCAGAGACCGGGAGCCAAACCTGCAACACGTTTCGATTTACCTAGACAGTATTATTTTAATATGTCCCACATGTTCTTTCCTGACGATTTTACAAACATTAGGAAGCATACTGAAGCAGAGTTTTTAGACATCGAGGTGAGACTATGAAAACAAAAGCTTAAAATTATTACATTGAATAGCTGCAAAAAAAAATGAGATTTTTATTTCGATTTTTGCTGTTTTTTCAGAATATCGTGGAAGAAGTCAAAGCGAATGTCGCAAATAGATATCCCGGGCAACTACAATACAGACGACTGATAAACGGTTACAGAACGTTTGATTTAAGCAGAGGAATGGATTATACTTTAGATTTAGGCTTCAGAGATCTGAACACTGGGAAAGAGGTGGTAAAAAGGTTGTGTAAATGTTACTACAAGAAAATTTAGCACTTTTTCCTAATCTAGCAACGTTAAACTTTCAGGTTTGAAGTATGTAAACCCTTAGGACAAGTAGAATTCATACCAATGCCATACGTAACAGAAAATACAAGAGTAACGATAGTTTTACCAATCCAAGAAACTGAAGTGGGTCTCGCTATGGAATTTCTAACAAATTACGCAGCCTTAATAATGGATAGAAAAGAAAAAACTTTCCTGATGCTCGTTTTACTGTACCAGTACAACAGTGAAAGCAAAGGCAGTGGGGATATCTTTGGGGACGCAAAAAACTTTGCTACGTCGGCCATGAACAAGTACAAAAATGATGACGTAAAAATTGCGTGGGTCTCTATTAGGTTACCCGAAGCTCCTAAGCCCTTATACGTAGAGGAATATAAATCTTTACATTTCGCCATAGTGGATCTAGCTTTGAGGAAAATTGGTGTGGACAGTTTGACGCTAGTACTGAACATTTACTGCAATATTACGGTTGATTTTCTAAATAGAGTACGTTGTAAGTTATTTTAAATGCGAGTAGTTGTAAAACTTGTGTTTTAGGTGAGAATGAACACTATATCAAACGTTCAAATATTTAGCCCTATCCCGTTCCATCAATATAACCCAAAAATTACCCAGTATAAGCATTTAGATGTGAACAAAAATACGGGGCACTTTGATAGGGAGGAATACAAATTTATTTCATTCTATGGAAGAGATTACGTTGATGGTAAGTTTGAAATGGAAAAAGTAAAGAAACTGTGCAAATTGCTTTTAATTACTAAATCGTTCTTTATTAGTGAGGAAGAAGTCCCAACACATTATGCCTCTCGTAAGATCTGACAACGATATTCCAAATATTCTTCACGAAGAGTATAAGGAGATGGGGAACATTTTCGAGATGTTCGTGAAATTTTCGCAGAAGATACATTGCATGAGAGCCACCGAAATGAATTTGAAGATAAAATATCATGAAGAGAATGATAAAACAAAACACAACTTATTCTTGGCAAATGAAGCGCAACTAGCCAAGTTGCTATTGTCAAAAAAAGATGAAATTGCGGAATTAAGATAATTTAAATTACACAATATGTAAGGAATTTGTGTATATTGTAACAAAGTGCCTTTATTCTAAGCCTAATAATTATCTGTATTTTACTATTTGTTATAACATGTAGAAATAATAAATATTTTATTTTTATAGCATGATTTTTATTTAAACAAAAATTACTTGTGACTTTATCTAATCTAATGCATTGTCTGTTGGTGCACTAACACTAAAACACATTTCACTTAAATATCGAGGAACGCACTTAGGGAATACATTTCACCTACTTTAAAAATCTGAACATTTAGTCTACAACTGTCAACTATTCAATTCCATATTTAAGGTTATGTTTTCAGCTTTGTTGTCAAAATTATGACCAATCTCCAAGAATTTTGTTGCATTTGTGTGAAAAAATACCCTCATTTAGAAAACATAAATGAAACTGACGCAGAAAATATTAAATATCACCATAAATTATCAGTATGCGTACCAAATCAGGTTAAATTTATTAATATACATTCGTTGTTTTATTTTAACCTATTTTTGTAGAATTGGCCCGAGGACTACAATTTATGCAAAAACTGTGTGGAACGACTCGATGCAGCGTTTTCTTTTATTCAAATTTGTATAAAAAGTGAAGAACTGAGGAAGCAACAATTAAGGATATTAAAAGAAGAAAGCAGAGACCCAGAGGAATTTTTTGGATGTGATATTTGTAAAAAACAGTTTAAACTCAAACGTTCTTTAAAACTGCATGTCACGAGGATACATACTAGGAGAAAAGTAAAAGAGGAAAGAATAAAACTCGAAGATCTGGAACAGAAGGAATCAATTTTAAGAAACAAAGCTGTAAAAGAAGAAAATGAGTACATTGATGAGCCCGAGTCGCAAAAAGAAGCTGATGCTGAAAACATAAACAAATACAGTGATGACGAGGAAAATTACGATAACGGAAACGATAGTAATTTTTCTAGTGATGAAGACATCAAACCACAACAAGAGATTAAAAAAAGGTACAACAAGCGAAAAAATCCTTTAACATGCGAATACTGTGGTAAAATATTTAACAGAAGGCAGCATTGGTCATCACACATACGATCTAAACACACTTTCGAAAAACCATATCAGTGCAATTTGTGCGACGCAAAGTATACAAACTCTCACAGCCTACTAGTGCATAAAAGGAATCACAACAATGAAAAACCTTTCATTTGCTCGTACTGTGGAAAAAGTTTCGTCTGTTCGGGCGATTTGTACCACCACAGCAAAATCCACTTGAACAAACGAGAATATAAGTGCTCGCAATGCGAGAAGAGTTTTAACACTGCAAGCATACTAAGAACACATAAAATATGCATGCATACTGAACCAAAAGACTGGAAATACATATGCAATTATTGCAACAAACGGTTCCCCATAAATTCGAGCTTAGCGACACATCTGAAACGTCACACGGGTATTAAGGAGTTCTCTTGTCATATCTGTGACAAAAAATTCTTCGATAATTCCGAATTAACCAAGCATTTCCGAAGCCACTCTAGCGAACGCTTGTACAAGTGCAGTTTGTGCGAAGACAAAGAATATAAGAACAGGTATGGACTTAGGAAACACATGAAAATCATCCATGATATCGGATCGATGAAGATAACGAAGCCGGTGAAGAAATTTGTATGTCCGTTGTGTCCAAAAATTTTCGCTTTCAATAATAAATTGCAGAAACATATGTGCACTCATACGGGAGAGAAACCATTTAAATGTGACTATTGTGAGAAAAAATTTGTGGATAATTACTATCGGAAAGTGCATCTGAAGAAAAAACATAATATTGAACTGAACGAAGAGTATTCGTAATTTTATAAGGTTTTTAATTTATTTTAATTTTTAAAGGTAAGAAGTACAATACATTAAGAAGGCAACAAAGTCAATTATTTTGTACATAAATAAAAAATAGAAGTATACCTAATGTTTAAGGCGTAAAATAGAAATTTAATATAAAAAAAACTAATAAAAGACTTGATGGCAGATCTAATTTGAGCATATAAAAATTATAATTTGAGGATATTGGATGTTTTTGGCAGTTAAAAATTATTTTTACACTAAATTCCAACTGAATTCTAGAATACCTATATCATAAAATGCAAGTGCCAAAGAGTATTGTTTAATTTATCCAATTTTAGTTATATTGAAAATTATCTTAAATATTTCAATTTGTAGAATTTTAGTGCTGTGTAAAAAGTATGTTTTGGATGAAAAAATAATTCAATTGCCAAACACTTCGTAAAGCTTCTTATCACTGTTTCATATTTAAGATTTGGTGCTGAACATTTTTAATTGAAGTGTCAAATAACTCAGAATTTCAAGGATATGTTTACGAATTTCATGGGGAAAAGCTGTATTTTTATATTTTCTTTTAATTACCCAAAAGTGCAATAATGTGAAATTTTAAGGCTTTAAATCATAGGACTTTAGTTTTAGTTTATATTTAAAGTTGCTTTACACATAATGTTTTATAGAGGTTACTAATTGCCCGAATGCCATTGAAAATTCCATAATAAAAATTGTTCCGTTTCTAAAATATAGGGTGTTTGAAAAAAAATTAAAATTATAAATTCTCAGGATCTTTTTACAAAATGTGCAAATCAGAATTGTTGACATATTTAGTGATTTTTTAGTATAAAAAGTAGAGCTGTAAAATTCAGTTACTTGTCGGTACCTGTAACTACTCATTACTTTTTCATACAGTGATCGTTACTTCGGATCAGTTATTCGAGTACTCGAAGTTCAAAAGGTGCTGTATGGGTAGTACGAGTACTGCAGCAGTCGGATTATAACGGTTTGAGATCCGAAGTTACTTGTCTTGTATGCAGGTTAGGTAATCGGTACCTACTACCTACAAATTTCGATTTAGAAACTTATGTTTCGCAGCATTAAAGTGTTTACCTACGATCACTACTGTAAATACTTAAAAACACACAGTCTGCGATCAATGTAAGATTCCTATTACGTACGGTAAAAAAATCGCACAGTTTTCCTAGCGACCGCCTAGCAACGGTCAATACAATAATGTTTGTATTGACCGTTGCTAGGCGGTTGCTAGGAAAACTGTACGATTTTTTTACCAAGCTGTGCGATTTTTTTACCGTACTACGTAATAGGAATCTTGCATTGATCGCAGACGGTGTGTTTTTAAGTATTTAAAGTAGTGGTCGTAGGTAAAGTATAGTACGTAATACGTGGTGTAATGCAATTACGCACTCATAGAATTACGCACTGCGTCGTGCGTAACTTTTCCATTCGTGCGTAAAATGCTTTTTACAACACTTATTACGTAATATACTATTAAATTATCAAAAGTAAATAATTTGATTTTCAGCTTGTATTTCGGTGATATACAGGAAATTTTCAGACTCAGACTCATAGTGTAGCATTCTACAATATTTGAATTTCACGTTTATACATATTGTAGTAATCTGTACAATTTTTAAATTCAAGATCTCGCTAATGATGGAGCAGAGTTCATTTTTGTTGCAGTGGTCAGTTTTGTTTTTACCAGTGGATTCGGCGATAGCGGTTCGGTATTCGGATCTACACCTACTCCTACTACATCCCTTTCAAAAATCGAGTACTCGAGTAGTGAAGTAACGATAACGTAATTTTTTTAGTAATCGTTACTTCGGATCCTGTCAAGTAACGAGTACTCGAATAACGGATAGTAACGATTTCTTACAGCTCTAATAAAAAGGATACAGTCCACACAATATTTCTGGAGAATTCAAAGAAAAGAATAAGCCAACAAAGTTCTGTTATCGGAACTACTGTCGCAATTTACCGCAGGAGGGGCGTGCCTTGTGATGTTCTGCCAATGCCTTTCTACCTCTGGTGTCAAATGCAGTTAATTATAAGTGACGCACGTGACTTCTTGGAATTTTATCTCAACAAATATCATATGGACTGTACTTGCAGATAGTCGATTCTTTTAATGCATTATAGAACTAATTAAAAAATCTTTTTACTAAATTTGTAGCTATATTAAGTTTCAGAATTTAGAGACCAACTTAGTTTTATTCAAATGTCAGTGTCTAATGAGGTATAGTTCTTTGATAGAAGATCCACACAACAACATTTGGAGGACTCAGCGGGTGTTGACTTTCGAATAAAGATAAGTTTGTCTGGATCGTAAAAACTAATCGATATTGTAAATTTAGTAAAACAATTAAATTAGAATACACTCAGCTCTCCGTTAACTGATACGTGCGGTAGAATATTGAAACATCCAACAAGTACAGGGTTGGAAAGTCCCCATGGTTCATTGACCGTTATGTGAGAGCAATAGAGGCATAGAAATCCGTGCGATAGAGAAAGATCCACTTCTTATTTGTGGAAGGGTGAAATGGGCGGTGACTATTAGACGCCTTCATTATAGCCATCTTTCTCTATCGCACGGATTTCTATGACTTACTTTATCGCTCTCACGTAACGGCCGATGAACCATGAGGACTTTCCGACCCTGTAAACTCTTTATAATAAATTATTCAGTTTATTATTGTGTTTGCTTTACAGTGTTGTAACATTTATTTTTTTTATAAAAGCGCTCCGAAATTGAAATTTTTGTGCCACTGATTTTTTTGTATTTACATCAAATTGTACTTTATAATGAAGATCTGCATTAGCAATCTCGGCCGATTAGTAACTAGACACCCTGTATATTTTTAATTTTAGAATCTCAAAATATTTATCCCTTTTTTAATCAAAATTCAAATGACTTGTAAGCAAAGTTTTTCAGCTTTGACTTTATTTATTTTAATAAAATGTATCTACATTCTTTTTTCCAACTATTTATTTATTCGTTCAACTTTTCCATCCCAAGTTTATACATTTTTCTCAATTCTGGGGTTCGTACTCTGAAAATTTAAAATTTATATGTAGCTATGTAATTAAAATCATGAAAATATGTAGTAATTATGAAAAAATCAACTGAAAATATACTATAGTTTTCAATGTTATCTGAAACAAAGTACAGTAGTAATTATATCTAATTTGCATGTAAAAATGCAAAGAAACGATTTCTTTGAGAAATTTAAAAACCTTTCCCACTCATCCACAAAACGAAAAGAATATACTCCTTTTTAATATGGTAAACTTGCTCAAGGCTAGTTATTTATCCCCATAAAACTTATTTCTAAAAGAGTATGCCCTTAATTATTTGTATTATTCCTCTTGTGATAACATTCTGTTGTGAGAAATAATTGTTTATAATCATACAAGACATGAAGAAATTAATTCTATTTTACATCACAAAATTAACTGCCAATATAATAAAAGGAAATTGCTATTTTTGTATTTGGAAAAACTATACACAATATTACATAGATATACTCCAGGAAAAAGCATTCTGAAATTAACCACTTGGATATTTCAGGAAGAAATAAACACTAAAGAAATATTTCCAATTTTCAAATTGAAAAAAAAAAAATTTAAATAAACATAAAAATTGTATTAAATAAATGTATTTACTGTATGCATGTATTTAATATATTTCCTTTATTTAACCACGATTCTAAAAGTTTATCAAACTACTTGTAATATTTCAGATACCAGACCTACCACATGTTACTTAGACAATCATATTCTTTTTACTGATACCACTAGACAGCATTAAAAAATATGTATTTATTTCTCCAATACTTTTGTTAAACTGAGGAAAATCTTAAACAACTTGTACCAATACTTGATTACATTTATCTCAAAGGTTTCCATCTACTTTGAAAGGTGTTGGATTGAGTTGAGAGGATTGAAATTTAAGAAACAAATAGTCAGTTCCGATTTAAATTTCTGTTCATTAGACAAAAATTTGTATCTAAAAGATAGTGCTGGCAAAAACCGGAAAAAAGTTAAACTGGTTAACCGGGTTCTGTAGAAACCGATTTCAGATAAAACCGGTTATTCGAATAACCCGTTACTTGAATCGCCAAAACCGGATATCTGAAAATCGGTGCTTTGCAAAGACAGACCCGGAGAAATTGTCTTTACAAAAATCTGGAAGTCAATTGCAATCAGACAAATCGATGTTTAAAATAAAAAAAAGGAAGTAGATCATCGAATAATCGGTTATTTGAATAATCGGATATTTGAAGATTGGAATAACCGAATAACCGGTTTTCGGATATCTGAAGAATCGAATAACCGAATAACCTGTTTTCGGATTTCATAAAAATCCGAATTATCCGAAACCAGTTAACCGACTATCCAAAAAACCGATTTCAGTTGCCAGCACTACTAAAAGACGATCGGGATGTCTGGACTTATTAATCATACTACAGTGCGCAACTGAGTCCGGAATCTACGAAAATATGCAATTTACATATCTAATTGAGAAAATACAAAGAAAATATGTAGCACCCCAAAACATTATGTAATATTTCATAAAATTTATAACAAGCAGCAATTCATTATTTTAGATTTATACACAGAAAAATTATTCAACAATCTGTAATTGATATTAAACAACTTCCACCAATTAAAATAAGAAATAGAAATGACATAAATTAAAATCTTTGTTATACAACCTCCACATCGTCACCTTAGACGTTTTAACAGACATATCAACCTCTTTTCTGAAGAAATTTTGAAACTCAGTTTCAAGAGAGGTATACACAGTCTGGCTATTAAGTTTCAAGACTGATTTTATTTTGGTGAAGTGCATGGCCTTATCTATGGGCAATCACTAGAACTACGGAATGGAAAGTCTTCCGAGTGACCAAACAAAATTTCATTAGGATACGTGTATCTACCACGAAGTTATAACGTTTTCTGTGAAAGTTGTCGTGGAAACATACATTGAACAGCGTACAGCGACCAAGTTCTGTTTTAAAGCCGGTAAAACAGCCATGGAAACAAATCAACAGCTACAAACAGCGTACGGTGAGGAGTGTGTTTCATGTGCGACTATGTTCTTGTGGTTTGGGAGGTTTTGTGATGGCCAAAACAGTGTGCACAACGACGAGAGATCGGGATGTGCGTCCACGTCCCCAAACAAACCAAATGAATGAAAACTGTGCGCTCTGTGCTGAAATCTGACTGTCCCTCAACCATAAGAATGTTGGTAGACTGTGTATGATTGATCAACGAACAGATCACAACGCAGAGCGCACAGCTTCGATGTTTTCGTTTGTTCGGATTGTGCAGGATCACCCCGTCCTCTCGTCATCATGCACACTGTCTCGGACATCACAAAACATCCCAAACCACAGGAACACATTCGGAATGTAATACACGCTCCTTACCATTTATAACACGTTTCCGTGGCTGTTTTACCAACTTTAAAACAAAAATTGATTGCTGTACGCTGTTCAATGTGTGTTTGACAACTATCAAAAATGCTTTACGCAAACTGTTACAAGTTTGTGGTAGATGTATGTATATTGGTCTCTACGTAGTTCCGATGACTGCTCATAAATAGCGCCACACTTCGCCACAATAAAATAGGTCTTAAAACTTAATGAGTGTATGTTGAAAAACATCAAGAGTTCTAAACTGACGACATGGCAATGAATTCACTAATTATGTAACCATTGAAACTGCCAGAGAAACCTGCAAATAAGCCAAATCAAAATCAATTTTCGCTACTAAAATACTTTATTTATGTCACTTATCCGATCCTGTAATCAATCAAAAATATAAATTTTTTGTTAAAATATATACACAGCATATCACAAACAACAACAAATTTGGATAAATATACAATCAACAACTAGGTCCAAAATGAAACCTTCTTAACCTAGAATTAATAATGTGTTTACATACATTATATGGAAGCTACCAGCAACTAAAAAAACTTTATTGTAGATATAAGAAGACAGAACTTCAAAAATAATCAATAATAAATGGGAATATCCAATTAAGTCTTCAATTAATATCTTCACATATTGTAAAAGCCTTAAAATTAAATAAAAACAAAGGTCAAATTATAGACTTGGATTTGAATTACCTTTCGAGGTGATAGACACTTATTTTTACATAAGTGTTATTGAAAAACTAGCATTATCGGTAATTTAATCTTTCATTCATATTTGTTTTATAGTAAAAACGGTCTGATAAGACTAGCATAGTAATCATCTGGTAACTGATTTTTCAAAAATACAAAAAATAAATAAAATCGTTTATCCGCGAAACAACACCAATAGACCAAGAAAGAAAGGTGAAAAATCATCGAGAAATCGTGAAAATTACTGGGCGTGATTTTATTGTTGGAAAGTCTTGGGAATGAAAATACAAGAGGCGGCTCATCTCATGGGTCATGAAAAAAGTATAGCGTCATTTTTTTTTATCAACAAATAGGTAAAAAATTCGTCATTTTTCATTCTACGTGTTATTGTAAAAAAACTATTAATCTTAGCAAAAAATGTTCAACAGACGATTTGATCTAGATAAACTTATTTTTAAAATGGGACTTTATACGTTAAAATTGCCTTATAAATAAAAAATTTATTGCAAAATTAAACGAAAAAGTGCTTTTTCTTTAAATTTTCTAAATAATTAATAAAATCTTACCAAACTTTCCCAAAATGTGAGTTTTTATATCCTTAAGAGATATGCAAAAGATGGGCTCGATCGGTCAAATAGTTTTTGCAAAATTCCATTTACTTATCCCATTTTTGCAAAAAAGGCCTATTTTCAAATGACTATTCCGGGGGAAGGGTCATAACTAAAACATTTTTATTGGGCTCATTTTCTTCGAAGGGAATTTGAATTTTTTTTTCAAATTTAGTTTTATATAATTGTTAACAAATAAAAGGCACTTTTTTCCCTAATAAACAAATAAAATAACTTGGCGGTTTTTAACTTTTGAAAGAAGTTATATACACCATTCGAAAGCTCGTAAACAACCTACAAATTGAAAAAAAAAGTTTCTACGACCAATAGGTCTGGAGTTAGCAATTTTTTTACAACTAAATTTGAAACAAAATTTTAATTTTTTTTTAACTAGAGGATACTTGGTGTCCCTTCGAAGAAAATGAGCCCAAAAAGAATATTTTAGTCATAACCCTACCTCCGGAATAGTCATTTGAAAATGGGCCTTTTTTGCAAAATTGGGATAAATAAATGGAATTTTACAAAAACTATTTGACCGATCGAGCCGAGCCCATCTTTTGCAAACCTCTTAAGGATATAAAAACTAACATTTTGGGAAAGTTTGGTAAGATTTTATTAATTATTTAAAAAGTTATTAACAATTAAAGAAAAAGCACTTTTTCCGTTTAATTTTACAATAAATTTTTTGTTTATAAGCAATTTTAACTTATAAAGTCATTTTAAAGACGAGTTTCTCTAGATCAAATCGTCTGTTGAACATTTTTTGCTAAGGTTAATAGTTTTTTTTTACAATAACACGTAGAACGAAAAATGACAAATTTTTGACCTATTTGTTGATAAAAAACAATGACGCCANTCATTTTCTTCGAAGGGAATTTGAATTTTTTTTTCAAATTTAGTTTTATATAATTGTTAACAAATAAAAGGCACTTTATTCCCTAATAAACAAATAAAATAACTCCGCGGTTTTTAACTTTTGAAAGAAGTTATATACACCATTCGAAAGCTCGTAAACAACCTACAAATTGAAAAAAAAAAAAGTTTCTACGACCAATAGGTCCGGAGTTAGCAATTTTTTTACAACTAAATTTGAAACAAAATTTTATTTTTTTTTAACTAGAGGATACTTGGCGTCCCTTCGAAGAAAATGAGCCCAAAAAGAATATTTTAGTCATAACCCTGCCTCCGGAATAGTCATTTGAAAATGGGCCTTTTTTGTAAAAATGGGATAAATGGAATTTTGCAAAAACTATTTGACCGATCGAGCCGAGCCCATCTTTTGCACACCTCTTAAGGATATAAAAACTCACATTTTGGGAAAGTTTGGTAAGATTTTATTAATTATTTAAAAAGTTATTAACAATTAAAGAAATAGCACTTTTTCCGTTTAATTTTACAATAAATTTTTTGTTTATAAGCAATTTTAACTTATAATCATTTTAAAGATGAGTTTCTCTAGATCAAATCGTCTGTTGAACATTTTTTGCTAAGGTTAATAGTTTTTTTTACAATAACACGTAGAATGAAAAATTACAAATTTTTGACTTATATGTTGATAAAAAACAATGACGCTTTACTTTTTTCATGACCCACGAGATGAGACGCCTCTTGTATTATCATTCCCAAGACTTTCCAACAATAAAATCACGCCCAGTAATTAATAAATTTCAAAATGTTTCCTTTCCTGGTAAATTTTGTAACATTTACATTATATCATTCATACCAATTCATAATAATCACTGATATTTCTTTCGTGTATTTAGAATCACTCTTTTCATCAATTAAAATTTCACAATAGAATATATAAAAAGAAAACAAATAGATGAAAGTACACATAGTCATCATTCAAAGATAAAATATTACACACTTGACACTCCTATTAAAATATATTAAGGCACAAAATCATAAAAATTTATTATTAGCGTTTTCATATCAAAATTTGGCTACCTCTATAGCTGACGAGTTTCCTAGGGTCCACTCAGACTGGGACCTACTACAATGAAAAAAAAAGAAAAAAATTATTAATAACAAAATTCAGTAAACCGCAACTACTTACTGAGACGAAGGTGTAAGTAAAATTTCCGCTGTTAGGTGTTAAACTGTTAGGAAAGAAGAAATAAAGTTAGTACATTAGTATGTAAATGCAGCGATTGCGGTGGTACAAAACTTGGCCTGAAGCATAACGTAATATACAAGGTGTAACTTTAAGTGTGGTCAGTCTGTCAATCTGTAATAATTTTTTTTTAAGTCAAATACACAGTCGACTTATAGTTCGTTTTTAAACTGCACTTAAACTTTTGTCTACGCCGTTACTGTGCAGCTCCCGAACTGGGTTTTAAGTGCGCACTATTTTACATTTTGCTGTTTTATGAAACTTTCATAAAAAATTAATATTTAAGAGGGCCCTATAGCAAATAGGCAATACATTTTTTATAGATTTTATTACACAGTATGTCTAAATATCAATTAATGCACAAATAACAGAGTTTCCCCCCATTTTAATGCAGAATTTGTATAAAATGGACTTAGTTTGAAACTCAAATAACTTTTTGGTATAAAGAAATTTGTAATTTACAATGCCTCTTGTTCAAAAGCGAGGAAATTCAGTTTCATAGGTCATATAGATATGACCCCAATTCAAAGTTACATCCTGTACAGTCAAGTACCAAAAATGACGCATATTATTATTGCAACGAAACTTTCACAGCAAATACTATATTAGAACAAAGCTCACTCTACAACCTCTTGCTAAATACAACGAAAACTCGTGCTACACACATTACTTTGTTATACAAGCAGTGGCGCCGAGCAGCCAACTTTTTAAATTCAGATCTTAATAGAAATCTTCACGAGAGACACCACTGCGGCATAACAATTTTTTAACGCAAACCGTATCACTTACACATACTTTTGACGAAACGGTAATTCTGATACCTCAGTATCAGGCAGACTCGTCACTGAAAACATAAAGCCACATAAAAAAAGATAAGCAAAGTAGAGACGTGAGGACAGAAGCCGGAAAAAATGAGAGGTCGATTAAAAAACTCACCTTGCGTAACTAATAGGACTTATGTCCAAAGCCGAATCGATCGGGCCCATCACGTACTTATTGACGAACCCGTATCTCAACAATCGAGTGTTACCCATCGAGATGGCCATGTGAACGACCAAGTACGCGCAGAAAAGTAAGTACAAGATACCGACTAGTATCACCACGAGAAGCGGAAACCAATGCAATTCCAACTCGTTTACTGTATTGACGACGAAATAGGTATTTATCGCTATCACGACTATACTTAGAAGTATAGACGCTACCTTGTTCCCCCTGCAAGGAAAAGTGAGGTTAATAATTAATTTTTTTAAAGCATCCACCTTCCTTACAATCCGTTTACGAATTCGCCCATTATCTGCGGGTTGCTGGTGAAGGCGATCGTCGGTATAGTAGCAAACGGTAACTGCAGGCTCATTATGGCGTTCAGGATATCGTTCATGTTGGTCAGGTCTTCGAGGTGGCTGAAGAAAGCTAGAAAGAAAGTGGGAATAATAGCTATTGTCCTGGTGAATAAAACTCTCTTCCATCGGGCCCACTGCAGGTTTAGGAAGCCTTCCATAGCGAACTGACCAGCGTAAGTACCTAAAATATAGTAATTTCACAGTTAAACGGAGTTATTGTATAATTTCTCTAATAATCATAAAACGACAACATTAAATCTATGATAAGACTTAATAAACAAAAAGAAGAAAAATAATAAGTACGTCACACAAAGAACGAACCTGTCATTGTGGAACTTTGTCCAGCGGCCAATATACCAACTGCCCAAATGTACATAGCTGCCAAACCATAAGTGCATCCCAAGAAAATTCCTCCTTTGTACAAATCGGCATCGACATACTTGTTATTTTCCTAAAATTGCATTTATTAGTGCAACAAGAAAATGGTGATTTACTCAACTTACCGGAAAAATTGAGGCATTGAGAGAAGGATGTTTGAGGCACAAATCATGCTAAAATAAACAGATAACATTAAACCAATAGTTTTTAACTAATCCTAGTATGGGAAACAACTACTCTGACGACTACAGATCTCATCCAGCACTGAATCACATCCGCAAGCAATATCTGCCGCAAGTTCGATATTAACATTTAGATATATTTCATTCTGTTGTGATCTATACGATTTTTTCTACTTACCACTTCCTGATTTGTCGTTTGGAATAGCCCATGGGCAAAAACAGCTACCACGAAAACATTTATCACAAAACTGACTAAAAGGGCTATAGCTGCCTCCACAAAGAAATACATGTTGGCATCGCTAACTTTTTCCTTCTTTGTTCTATCGATATCCCTCGACTTTACCAAAGCCGAATGCAGATACAGGTTATGAGGCATTATAACAGCACCTACAACGAAATCAATGAGAAATTCGTATCGGTATAAGTCGTTCGGACCTACCGACAATTCCCACGGCTTGCAGAAGAGCCCTCGAATCGCAATTTTTGCACCAGGGTATGAACATTCCTTCTAGTACGCCTACGGCGTTGGGTTTTGAGGTGGCGTATTCGAAACCGAAGGTGACACCCATGATGGTGATGAGTAAACCGAAGAAGGTTTCTAGTTTTCGAAGACCGTATTTGTCAAGAAATAGGAAAGTGAAGGTGTCGATAATCGTTATTAATACTCCACCCCAAATTGGTATTCTAAAAAGGGAGGACGCAAATTAGAAACTATTTTAAAATGTAAGACGGACTGTTCTAAAAGGTGTCTGCGTTTCTTCCAATATGCTTAAATTATTATTTTGAACTTTCAGTTCTTATTGTTATTAATTTTGAAAAAGGTCAATATATAATTTAATACACACGGAGTGTTCAGGGATATATGGGCCACACTTTAGGGGAAATTTCTTTGATTTAGGTCAAATTTGAATTTTTAATTAATTTTTTAAGACAACTTTTTACTTTACTTTTCAGAATGTTTCTATAAATCTTGGTACAGATAATTTTTTGAGGTAGTAAAATGAATAAATTTATTTTTTACCTAAATTAAAATGAGCACTAAAAAAAATTTAGGGCCTTTTTATTTTCGCCATAACTTTGTTGGTAATAATTTTAGGAAAACGCAGGTGTTTTTTAAAACACCGCTTTATTTACTGAAAAAAAGGTACATATACCTTTACATTTATCTGATGATATTGTGGAAGAACTACTCTGCGAGCTACATATCCTAACCAATATCCAAGTAATAATTATTAATTAACCCTACGTTCATATTCAGCAACCCCGAAACGCTCTCAAAGTTCTTAAATGGCGACGTTTAAAATAAAGCAAAATGTAAGTTATTTAAAAAATTAGTGGACAGTCTGAACTTTATAGGGAAACAAAGTTGTATTAGGGAAAATTGATCTAAATCGGTCCATTCATTTTCGGACACCCAGAATTTTACTTTAAAATATGAATAAAAGTGCAATCGTTGAAAACTGTCAAAATAATAAATTTTCATTGGGAAAAAGGAAGATATCCTTACACTCTGTTAGATAGAAGGTATATAGCTATAGCTGTCCCGATAACTTCCTGCATATCGCTCCCTATAATAGCTACTTCTATCATGATCCACAAAAGTAGACGTGGAACTTTTCTGTATTGCCTGTAACACATTTCTGCTAAATGCAACCCAGTTACAACACCTATAATACGAAAAAAAAAATTAAAACTAAGGTCTTTTTTTTTTGTTGGATTCATATCTCCAGGTTTTTCAAATGATAGTGTACTTGATTGGACAAATATTTTTTTTTTTAGTAAGTAAATGGATTTTATTTATTCATTTAATTTTTGATTTTTCAAATGTCCAATCTCAAAGATAATGTTAGAAATTATTTTCTATTTGAACTAAAATGTGTAAAATAAATTTCATTTAGATAATAGGATTTGTGAGTAACGCATTAAACATGAAGCATGATTAAACTTCCTTAAATGCATACAATCTTATCAAAAATCCCCCTTTTGAGGTTTTGTTTATCACATTTCCAGCCTGATAATGTTTACAATTCTTGTTAATCTTCCAAGCAAGCCAAGTAAATATTAGTCATCCTTTATTAGTACATATTGATTTAATAAAAAAAATACCAACAATGTCACCAGGAAAGTGCAATGGTTTTTTGTTTTTAACCACACTCAAACACTTACCTTAATTAAACTGAACAGAAACGGAAAACTATTTCTCTGAATTAGAATATTTACTTTAAAAATTAAAAAGGGTATTTTCATTGCATAAATTAAAAATATTGTTTTGTGTTAAAGATTCTTAAACACAAATATTTTGACAATATTTATTTCACGAGTTCTTATACACAGCGTAACATTAAGTGGGGGCACAATTTTTTCTAAGGGTAATAATATGTGTAACACAGAATATCTGAAAATGTAGTCAAGTTATATTTTTTAAATTGCAGTTAAACTCTTGTCTACACCATCACAGAACACGATTGCATGAACTTGCTTAACAGCGTTGCTTGTTGTTAACTTTTTAGACTAACTGTATGAAACTAATAGAATAGCAGAGTGAAACTGCAATGGAAAATAATTTTCTGAAAACAGATTGTTTTTGTACGACCTGCAACATTGTATACAACAAAAAAAAATAAAAATATTAGTCTAATACATTTAAAATATACTTTTTAATTATATTATTTCAAATTTATAATAAAAAGAATTAGGTACTTTTTTTTAATCACTGTGTTTTGTTTGTGAATCTTAGTGTCAATGACCTCTCACAATGAATTTGTTTAGGTGAACTACCTAATAGAATGCTAGGTGTCTTTTTGTGTGACGTATTAGTTTTTCGGAACGGTGTGTTTGTGTGTCTTCATTGTAAAATTTGATATTGTGAAAAAAAAAAAACAAAAACGAATCAATACAGAAGAGATTTTAAATAATAATTCACTTTTCACAATGGAATTTGAGAAAATAAACTCATGATACGTGTTTCTCAAAGTAAAAAGTATCCTCCTTATAAAAATGATCCCCATTCACAGTTACACCCTGTATATTTCTAATGACACTATCTATTTCTTACCAAGTCGAGCAGATAGCCTTTGCATAAGAAGGCCCAGAATCGTCGCACTCAACAGAACCCATAACAGCCTATATTCGGCTATAGTACCGCTCTGCAAGTCACTTTCTATATTTCCCGGATCCAAATAGGCTATGGACATCAGGAAGCCGGGCCCTGTAAAAGCCCATAGCTTTTTGAAACTGAAACCTTGCTGAAAAATTGCCCAAATGAAAATACAGAATATTATATCAAAGTATTGAAAAAGTATAAAAAATTAATGTTTTTATTCTACTTACATGTGATGTTTCCGGAATTTTAATTTTTGCATCAGAAAAATATGTGTTTACGGGACTTAGCAATGTTGTTTCGCTAGGCATCGAGCCAATGGGTCGACCATCGCCCGTATTTAAGTCAGGATTGGAATGGTTCGAGCTACCTTGACCACTGTCACTAGGTGTATATGACATTTTAGGCATCTAAAAATATGTTTTTTTTTTCGGTAGGCTATACATACATTTTAAGTAACGCTTTTGTGATGTTTACTTTAATGCACGGAAATCATTTATGTAATATTTATATAATGCAAGGAGATAATGTACTTTATTTGCCACTTACCATGAGTAGGTACTCGATCAAATCAAAACCTATACAAATATCACTGAAATCGATCTCTGAGCATTAGCATTAATTGCCCAATACTTGAAATTAATAATTGACTTGTACAAAGTATTTGGTTCAATTTGATATGCGAGAATGTCCGTATAATTATTCCAATTGGTCTAATAAAAATGTCTTTGCTACACTTTCAAACTAATCATACCTTTACAACTTTGTAAGAACAATTATATAAACCTATATCACCGGTTCTGTAACAATTCTATTTACAATGCAATTTACCTGATTGTTTTAGAATAGCACCAATTGATAGAAATATATGTAGAGTAAAAAATATATCTTATCACGGCCTCTTTCAAGATTTTTCAAAAGATTTTACTTGTTTCATTCCCTTTTAGAGAAAAAATTAAAAGAAGCAGCACAATTTTACCAATTCCTTTAATTTTCTCTCAGAAGAAAATGTTATTTTAAATCTAAAATAAAAATTCGACAGTTTAATGGGTATAATTAGATAATGAAGAATAAAAAGTTGAATTTTTGTTCACATAATCATCATTTACAAAATTACAACAGTATAGTACAAACCATGTACAAGAATAAATCAATAGTAATTTAAAAATGTCATTAAATAGGTACTAAAATATCATGCGTAAAATGTGTTTTTTGATTAGGTATTCAAAGCTAGAATTTAAAGATGTTATAATTCTAAATACAGCCTTCAAATAGTAAGAAAATTTCTTAAAACTAGATTTAGAATTTTTTTCCTATGTTGCAAAAGCAGCAACCAAAACAAAATGAGTTGTAGAATGTTAAATGGTTGGTTAAATAAGCAAACTTGTAAATTATAATTAAGCGGTATAAAATTTAATATTGGTTATACAATAACTGAATAACCCTATTATGTAAGCCTTTTAATAAAAAAAAACAATTATTGATTCAAAATGCACAATTTCTTCAGAATTATGTTTTATATTCTTGAGACGTCCTCAAACACATAATTCTATAAAGAATTTAGGATTACTTTAACAATGGATTCTTTTCCCCGGAATATTTTATCTGGAGAGGTATTAATACACTAAAATTGATTAGCTACGACAATAAAAAAAAATGCTCCATTCGTGTTTATACGACTTATCTTTATATGTGTAATCTTTATCTTATTGAAATAAAAATCCTTTTAGATTTCGGTCGAAAAAATACCGATTTTCTTAGGTATATGGAATTAAAGGTTTAAAGGTTAAAGGGAAAACCCTTTGGTGTGTAACAACCAATGGAACTGGACAAAATAATCATTTTAAATAACATCACAAAAGTGCTATTAAAATGATAATTAATTCAATTTAAAACTACTGGAGAGGATAATTATATAAATATACGTACCTTTATTTATTTCAATGCCTAGTTGCACATACCTAACTAAAAACAGAATCACAAAATTTATCACAATGAATTAGGTACTCCTTAACGGGCACAGACAATTTTTAACTTGACTATAATTTGACTGTGTGAAATTACGGCATGTTAACAAAAATTAAAAAAATGTTTGTGTAATGACAGCTGGCATTGAGTCAACTTCTGCTCAGCAGTGAACTGTGAACTCGGAACTACTAACACATGTGCGTTCGTTAAACGTTAAAAGCAGAAGGCAAGGTACTAAAGCGGTGCGTAGTGAAGCGTGCGTTTAGTGAAGAATTTCTCGCTATTTTCTAAAATTACGGTGTGGAAAAACATTCCCCACTCCATAAAAATGCGGTATTGGAACAATAAAGGCAATTAAAGACATTGAAGGTTTATCCCCCAATTCCCAATGCGGTTTTATTGCACGTTAATAGACCAAGGACCTTTCTTTACACCTATTTAAAATTTTAGTCAAAGGGTAGGTCAAATGATTCATTTTGGTAGTTTTCATATTATCATATATAATAATGTGTTATGCATCTGCACGATTCTACGTGAGCGAAATATAAATTAACAACTATTAAAAAAAAAGGAATTCACAAGTGTAAGGGAATTCCCCTTATAACTAATTTTATACGTTACATCGTACCATACTTGTATAGTTTTTAAAGATGAGAATTCGTTTATACTAACGTTTAAATGAAAATATTAAATTAAAATATGCAGCATGGCAAAAATTAAAAAAAAAACTGCAAAAGTAAGTATCAGAATAGGCCAAAACGGTTTTAGAATATAAAATACGCCATAATAGACTAAGATTTTTTTTATGTGGATAAATAGGTAAATATTAACGTAGACACTATTAAACTGATTAAAACAAATTTGCGCCCTAAATATTGTCACAAGCTACACCACATATCTAAGCTACACACCTGATTTGGAAAAACCTCGAACGCAATGATTAAAATCCTTTGTTTTCCCAATAAAAACAAAGATTAGGTACATTTGTTATTGTTCTCAAGCGCATTTTCTATAAATATACACACATCGGACCAAGAATAGCTAATTTTAATTATTTTCCCATATAAGTATAATGTCCATCAACCATAAAAATCGTGTTATTCGCAATTACCTATTTAACTTTGGTATTGTGTGAATAATCGGACTTTATAATTATGATTCCTTTTCTGCGGTTATATGCAATAGGTCTAAATAGCTCTAAATTTTCCAACTAAGTGGTAGATAAGTAGTTATTACAAGGTATTACATGACGGTTAGATTAAATAATTGCTAATTGCCAGTTAACCATTAACCAGACTTAACCATTGGTTAATAATTAAATTTTATTACTAACTTCGTGGTTTATTAAAAAACAATCGGAAGTGGCCGAAAGGCACTGCTGATGCTACCAAAAGTAGACGGGAATCTGTTTTTAAATTTTTTCGGGACACGCAATTTTATTTGTTGAGCAATAAATTATCACTGAGTTTTGTGGTTGTGACTAGGCGGCTATGTAAAAAGTTGTCTTTTTATACCAACAATTAGATTATGTAGATATCTAACACGCAACAATAAGAAAGCGTCAATCCAGGCGAAAAAATAAAGAAAATGGTCAATATCTAGAGACTTTAGAACGAAATCAGCGTTACCCTCCTCACAGGCAATTTGGTGTACCTATTTAACGTAAATTAAGCTCTGCTAGGTAGGTAGGTAGGTACTTACCGATAACCGGCTATCTCCACTTTCGTCTGCGGCAGCATACTTGAATGTTACGGCATTGATCTCATAATCGTTTACACATCACATACACAAACACTTCCACAAAACTTCATAAATACAAAAGTAATTGTAAATTATCGAAAACACTGCATTTACGTTCAAATTCAAAGGAAAACACGAGTACGACCGCCGCGGCGTCTTATAAAAACAATTGGGCAGCGCCTACTAAATTTAATTTGGGCTTAGTTGTACGCACTGATTGGGCTATTTTTTGCTTGAAGATTTTGTTAGGCTTTTTTGTCACAACCAATGAAATACATTTTTCCAAAAGAATCAGCGGCGGTACAACAAATATTAAAATAAGGGAAATTATACATTGTTACTTAAAAATAATTATCAGAACTCTGAAGTTTGCTTATTTGCAATATTACAAAGAGTGTATTTTAATTGACATGACACGTTGTGAAATGACCATTTGACTTGGCATAAAAATTTTGGAAATAAAAAATATGGTTTCAAAGTGTTAAGATAGGATCAAAAATATGACACTATGATATCTAAATTTATAAAACCGATGTCAACAAATTTTAACTGATAGAGTGTCCAAATAACGACTTATAAGATTTCAAGTACTTTTTAATATTGAATATTTTGAATTCAAATGCACTTATCATGCTAGACCTGAAAATAAGTTTTACACTATTAGAATTTTACCTTATTAATAAGCATCATTTTTGACGTAGTAGTTATACGAGTAGTAGAATTGTCTCTGTTTTTGACTTGACACGATTGTTGCATTCCATTTCTGCAGTACCTATTCCTTCTTAGTCCAGTTAAACGGGCCTTTAAATCGCAATTTTTGCCTGAATTTTTGATATAAGTTAGTTTGAGGTATACAGGGTGTTCCTAAATAAGTGTCGCAACGGAAAACTGTACATTTCTCTTGAAAAGAGAAACATAGTTTTCCTCTTCCATTTTTCTCTCCGGGCTTTCGTTTTCGAGATACACGGTGTCAAAACTTTTTTTCAGATTTTTGCCAATATGTTAGGAACCATTTGAACTAAAGGACTGAGCTTTTGTACACACATTACCACTATTAATAGCTACTTGTGGCAAATGTTGTTGAATTTCGTTAAACTTCTTAATTATTACTATCTATCTTTTTAATTACAAAAGATTTTCAAAACAGCAAAATTTGTTTTTGTTCATAAAATGTAATTTTTCTTGAAAACGATTGACTTTAGAGCAATGAACCAAGAGAACTCTTTTTGTGTAAAATTCATTGGCGCTTCAGAATTTGCTGCCAAATGTCAATTTTTCCAGTGGTGTAAAAGTTAAGGGGGGGAAACCCTTACGATACCTTAAAATCTCCACCATTGGCACGTTCAATGAATTCGAGAAGGGTGCAAAAAAGTAGCTATTAATAGTGGTAATGCGTGTACAAAAACTCAAAAAATTTAAAAAAAAATGAAAGTTTTGACACCGTGTATCTCGAAAACAAAAGCCCAGAGAGAAAAATGGAAGAGGAAAAGAATGTTTCTTTTTACAAGAGGAATATACAGTGTTCCGTTGCGATACTTATTTAGGAACACCCTATATAATAACAAACTGACAGTAATTTTTTTTTCAACCTCTGGCCAGGGGTGAAAAAAGATAAAATAAAGGGTTTTTTCAAGATAATTCAAAAGGGGTAAGAGCTAGAAAAAAAAGTTTCTTATAAAATTTGTAGAGCATAAAATTCTATATAAAAATGTAAAAATGATCTATTGACTTTTTCTCGTACTATTAAAATTAACAGAATTAGGGTGGCTAAAAATTAAGGGATGATTTCAGATATTTAAAAAAATCATAACAAGCAGAAAAATGAATGAATTTAATTTTTTTTTTTTTTCAGTTTACTCAAAAATTTAAACTATCTTTTCAGAGAAATAGATGTTTTTTAATATTTAATCAAAAAGTTATAACAATTTAAATTTTTTAATCATTAATTTTTAACACTAAAACAATTTTTTTCTACGACATTCAATTCATTATTTAAAATAATTAAAAGTTGCTTTCGAAATTTTGTTTTACGATAAAAATAAAAAATCACGTTACCTTTGTGAAATTGTTGTTTTTTATTAAAAATTAAAAAATATATCATTTTCTCTGAAAAGATAGTTTACATTTTTAAGAGTAGATTGAAAAAAAATATATAAAATTCATTCATTTGTAAATTTCTGAAATCATCCCTTAAAACTTAAGCTAACCTAACTCTTGTTAATTTTAATAGTACAAGAAAAAGTCAATAGACCATTTTTATGAAGAATTTTATATTCTACAAATTTTATGAGAAACTTTTCTTTCTAGGTCTTACCCCTTTTGAATTATCTTGAAAAACCCATTTATTTTATTTTTTTTCACCCTTCAAAATTACTGTCGCTTATTGTTATTATATACCTCAAACTAACATATCAAAAAGTTGACCAAAATTGCGATTTAAAGGCCCATTTAATTGGACTATTCTGTGAAAACAAATTTTAAAACTCCAGCTGTAAAAACATTTATCAAATTTGGGACCAAATGATATGTTGTTATAGACAACATTCGTTAAAGGTTTTTCTAGGCGTTACACAAGAGTGAAGAGATTTTCGAAGTTTTTTTTTTATTTTCGAGTATGATTTTACAGTAATAACATCCTCAGTCACACAAATTTGGTTACATTTTCCCTGTATACTCCACAAAATAGCACAAAGATTTCATAAAAGAAATAAACGATATAGTTTCATCTATATTTTCACTAATAAAGATGCCAAAACAAATTATACCCTGTTAGCATTATTTGTTTTCTTCTAAAATATATATACATTTGTTTTTGAAAATAGAAATTTTTATATATGTACTCGCAAATAATATCACAAAACATTCAAAAAGAAGATAGTATAGAAACACCTAAAGCAACTAAATGTATAACATCCTTCATGATAAAATATATAAATTATAAATATATAATTGATAAAAGCACTTAAATAATGGCAGTGTCTTCCTCCAACGTAAAAAAATAATGATATCCACTAAAACTTAATAGCATTTATATAAATCGAATAATTACTTCATTACTCAAGCGAAAATTATATACAGGGTGACTGTGTGCTTCGGCACTCTTCAAGACTGTATTACATGAATACAGGTTGTGCCTAGATATATTTTGTATGAAAATATGTACTGACATGACTACATTCACTCTACGAGTGTATTTCTAGTTTAAAAAAAATATTTTACTCTATGGCAGCTTTCAGATAATACTTGCAGATTCGCCGACATGTCGAAGTGTTATTAAGTCTATTGGATTTAATTCAAACATTCGTTCGCTACGGTTACAACTATTTAACATATAAAAAAGCGCAACAAAAAAATTTTCTGTTGGGATACAAAATATACCAATTTTCTTTTCTACGGCAGGATTTTTAAACTGAAACTATTGGAAATATTATAATTAATATTTAAAAAAGTTAAAATTAACGATAAATTTCTTCATGCGTTTTAATAAATATTTATTAATTTATTTTTAATAATTAAATATTCAGATGGATGAAATTCAAGGTGAGAAACCTGATAGACTACATCAAGAAAAAGTGGAATTATCCTTAAAATTATCATGACTGAACCATAAACTTTAAACAACCTTGCAGATAGTTGATTTAATAACATTACATATTTAGCTAATCCGATCTTC